ACCATACACCTGAAATTGATATAACACTATGTTAACTAACAGGAGTTTAAAAACTTAAAACAAAAAAGCATGTCGACTTTTTGCCAATGCTTCTTCTGTATTTATGATCATATGACTATCTTTCATTTTGTTTTTTAATTTTTTATGTTTATTTTTGAGAGAAAGAGACAGAGCGTGAGTGGGAAAGAGGCTGAGAGAGAGGGAGACACAGAATCTGAAGCAGGCTCCAGGCTCTGGGCTGTCAGCACAGAGCCAGATGTGGGGCTCAAACTTATGAGCTGTGAGATCGTGACCTGAGTCAAAGTCGGACGCCCTACCAACTGAGCCACCCAGGCGCCCCAATCTTTCATTTTGTTGAGGTAGTGTATCAATTTGACTGATTCACAAATGCTGGTCCATCTGTGCATCACTGAAATAAATCCCACTAAGTAATGGAATATGATCCTTTTAATGTATTATTGAATTCTTTTGCTAATATTTTGTTGAGGATTTTTGCATCTATGTTCATCAAGGATATTTGGCTTGTAATTTTATTTTCTTGTGACATTCTTGCCTGACATTGGTATCAGGGCAATGCTGATATTGTAAACTGAGTTTGGAAGTTTCCTTTGCTCTCAATATTTTGAAAGAGTTTGAGAAGGAGAGGTCTTAAATCTTTTTGAATGTTTGGCAGAATTCACCAGTGAAGTCATCTGATCCTGGACCTCTGTTTGCTGGAGGTTTTTGATAACGGAGTCAATCTCACCACTAATCTGTATTCAGATTTTCTACTTCATGATTCAGCCTTGCAAGAGTGTACATTTATGGAATTTATCCAATTCTAAGAGTCCAATTTGTTGGCATATAGTTATTCATGGTAATATCTCCTAACCTTTGTCTTTCTGTGGCATTGGTTATAACTTCTGTTTCACTTCTGAATATATTCAAGTCCTATTCTCTTGTTTTCTTGCTGAGTCTAGGAAAAGGTGTATGAATCTTGTTTACCCTTTGAAAGAGTCTGCTTCACCGTGTCATTGATTTTTTATTCTATATTCTCTTTAGTTTCTCTATCATGTATTCCCATAATGATCTTTGTTACTTCCTTCCTTCTACTAACTGGGCTTCATTTGCTTTTTTTCTAGTTCCTTGAAGTTTCAAATTAGATTACTGGAGATTTTTCTCATGGACTGAGGTAGAGGTGGGCCTGTATTGCTGTGACCTTCCTTCTTAGAACCACTTCTGCTAGGTTCTAAAGGTTTTGTATGTTCTGTTACGTTTAAGTTAGTCTTAAGCGGTTTCCTGACTTTTCCTTTGATTTCGTCATTGACCCACGGGTTGTTCAGAAGCAAGTTGTTTAACCTCCACATATTTGTGAATTTTCCAGTTTTCTTCTTGTAATTTACTTACAGTTTCATACCATTATGGGTCAGACAAGATTCTTGATAGGATTTCAGTCTTCTTTGATTTATTGAGACTTACTTTGTGGCCTAACATGTGATCTATCCTGGAGAACACTGAGAAGCAATTCTATTGCTTATGGATAGAGTGTTCAGTATAAATTAAGTTCAGTGATGTCAGTGGGATATTGATGTCCCTACTACTGAATTACATTTCTCCCTCCAGGTCTGTTAATATTTGCTTTATAGATTTAGGTGTCCTATATTGGTACATAAATGTTAATAAATGTTATGTCTTCTTGGTAGACTGATCCCTTCATCTTTATATATCTCCCCTTCTTTGTCTCTTACTACAGTCTTTGGTTTTGTGTTCTGTCTGACAGAACTACAGCTACTCATCTTTCTTTACATCCCCACTTCTGTGGAGTATCTTTCTGCAACCCCTCACTTTCCTCTGTGTGCGTCCTTACATCTGAATGAAGTCTCTTGTAGGCAGCAGATCAATTGTTCTTGGCTTTTCCCCATTAACCCACTCTGTGTCTTTTGATTAGAGAATTTAGTCCTACATTTCAAGTAATTATTGGTAAGAGGTACTTATTGCCATTTTGGTAATTGTCTTCTGGAGCTTTCTTAGTTGGGTCTCTGTTCCTTTCTTCTTCACTTTTTTTGTGGTTTGATGACTTTCTTTAGTGTTACACTTAGATTTCTTTCCCTTTGAATTTTGTTTATCTACTAGAAGTGTTTGCTTTTTGATCACAAGACTCACACATAACAGCCTATAAGTACACACACACACATTAAATTATATGTGTATGTGTATTAATGTATTAAGTTTGAACATACTCTAAAACTCTGAGTTTTCACTTGCCTTCCCTGAATTTAATGTTTGATTTCACATTTAGATCTTTTTACTTTGTGTATCCCATAATTAGGTATTGTAGTTTTCCTGATTTTTTACTACTTTTGTCTTTTTAACCTTCATTCTAGTTTTGTAAGTAATTAATCCATTACCTTTATTCTACATTTACTTTTACCAATGAGATTTACACTTTCGTGTGTTTTGTTAGGTCAAGGCCCTTTCACTGTAGCATTTCTTCCAGGGAGTGTTTAGTGGTGATGAGTTCCTTTAGGGTTTGCTTGCCGGGAAAACTATGCCTCCTTCAATTCTGAACGACGGCTCTTGCTGGGCAGAGGATCCTTGATCGTAGGTTTTCTTTCCAGAAATTGGAATATATCCTGCCACTCCCTGTTGGGTTGCAAGGTTTTTGCTGAAAATCTGCTGACCATCTTAGCAGTTTCCTTGTATGGTCCAAGTTATTTTTCTCTCTGCTGGTCTTAAGATTCTCTCATTCGCATCTGACATTTTAATTATAATGTGCCTTGGTGTGAACTCCTCGGATTCATCTTACTCACTCCATGGACCTGGATGTCTGTTTCTCTCCCCAGGTTAGGAACGTTTTCTGCGACACCCACACCGCAAATGCTCTTCTGACTGGTGACGTCCTATAGACCCTCGAGCTATCTTAACATTTTCCTGGTTTCTTTTAGCTGCTCTGTGTGAGGTCTAACGTCTTGTCGTCTTGATGGCTGCTGCTTCCTTCTTCTTCTAGTGGAAACCTCTCAGCGTATTCTTCAGTTCCATTACTGCATTTTTTACATTTTTTAATTTAAAAAAGTTTTTTATGTTTATTTTTGAGAGAGAGAGCACGGGAGAGTGCACAAGTGGGGAAGGGGCAGAGAGAGAGAGGAAGACACAGAATGCAAAGCAGGCTCCAGGCTCCGAGCTGTCAGCACCGTGACCGACGTGGGGCTCAAGGTCATGGACCAGGAGATCACGATCTGAGCTGAAGTTGGATGCTTAGCCAGCTAAGCCACCAGGTGCCCCCCTTCGCTCTGTTCTTAAGTAGTGTGACTTCCGCCTGGTATTCCCTCCGACTCTCCATCTCCCTGTTGAAGTTCTGTATTCATCCTTCCTTCTCCTGAGTTCCATGAGCTTCTTTATGACCACTACTTGAGCTCCTAATCAGGTTAAATATTTAACTCCACTCATTAAGGTTTTATCTTGTTCTTTCCTCCAGCACACATTCCTCTGTTTGCTCATTTTGTTGGCGTCTGTATTAAGCGGAGCAGCCACCCCTCCCTGTATGGACGGAGTGGGCTGTGGAAGTAGTGAATCTTCTGGTTCAGCCTTGTCCTTGGTTGTCTCTTGAAGCTTTCTGGTTGTCTAAGCAGCCGGGTGTACTCCTGATGTGTTCCCACTGCTGAGGGTGTGCCAAGACCTGTCCAAGCTCCAGAGGGAGGAGTCCCACTGAGCACTAGCTACAGGCTGACTGGCAGCCAGGCCTTCAGGCAGCAGCTTTTACCGTGTGTGGATACACACAGCCCTGAAGGTGTGCCTGGGTTACACTTCAGACACCAGGGTGCCTGAAGGCGTGTCCCGGGTTACACTTGCAAAACTCAGGGCTCCTCTCTGGGAGGGGAGGTAAGCTGCAGCAAGGTCAAGGGAAAGTGCAAAGCTGTCCCACTATGTTCCCTGGGGGCACCTAAGAGTCTCTAGATGTGTGGCAAACCTGAAGCCTGTACCTCCGGTTGCACCCCAGACCTTCCAACCAGCAAGACCAGGCATGTGTTTCAGTCGGCTGTCTGCGCAGCGCCCCATGCGGCCATCTGTCAAGAACGGTCCCTCTGAATGATAGGGTCCTACAGGGCCCAGCAGGTGTGCAAGCCCCTGGCTCCGGCGCCAGGCGCGCCTGGGTGTGCCCGTGCGGTGCGTGCGCATCTGCAGCTCTGGCAGGCGGGAGGGACGTGCGGGGCTGCAGCGGGCCTGCCGGCCTCAGTGACGCAGGGGGAGGGCGCAGGGGTGGGGGGCGCCTGTTGGCTTTAGTAGAATAGAACAGCAGTGGCAAGGTAGAAGCAATGCGCAGAAACGGTCCCCGTCAGCACTCGTGTCCCCGGAGCCCCAGCAGGCCCTGCCCCTCTGGCAGATGCTTCGGTGTTGGCCGATGAACCCTCCTCACGCACAGTGCAACCACCTTCCAAACTGCTGCTCGTGCGCCGGGCCCTGGGCCAAGCGAGTCGAGTGTGAGCCCCGTGGGGGTGCTGGACACAAGCCCCGGTATTTTCAAAGGCAAATGTCCTGTGGGTTCGACTCTCTGGTGCAGGCCCCAGGGCTGGGATGCCTGCTGGGGGCCGTGCGCGGCTCTGAACCTGTGAGACGCCCCGGGCCAGGTGGCGGTGCAGGGCGGGGGGGGGGGGACTGGCGAGGCGGCGTCCCCGCCTCGCTTCACACGGGGGAGCCGGTCGGCTACCGGGGAGGAGGGGGCTGCACGCCCCGCACCGCCGCCCGCACGGCCCCTCCAGCGGTCGGCGGCCACCGCACGGCAGCCCCGCCTGAGAGGCTGCTCCTGCGTGAGGCCTGCAGCCGAGCTCGTGTCCCTGAGCGTCCCCTCTGCCGGCACAACGAGGAGAGCCGGCAGAGCCTCACCAACGGCAAATCACCGCTGTGCCTCCCGGGCCACATCCCGCGGAGGAGAGCCACCTAAGCCCCCACCTACACATCCCGACCTCACACCGAACGTTCCACGGCCGAGCCTCTCCCCCCGCCGGCGCCAGCAGGCTCCTTACCTTTCTCGTGAGGGGCACTTCGATGGGCACGGGGACAACCTCGGCCAGCAGGCAGCCGTAGAAGGCCACCATGGACGCAGCGGGGTCGTTGTTGGGGAACACCAGCGCCACCTGCACCGACACAGAGCGGGAGGGTTAGCCGGCGGGCCGGTGCCACCGCGGGCAGAGGCGCTCGTGTTCCCAGAGGCCGAACGGAAATCAGGGGCGTGCTCCGGGCCGTATTCCAGCGAGACGCATCCGAGCGAGCAGCGTGCACCTCCCGCGTCAGCGTCCCCGCCGCGCGTCAGCGTCCCCGCCGTGCGTCAGCGTCCCCGCCGCGCGTCAGCGTCCCCGCCGTGCGTCCCACGGAGGGAGCGCGCGGCGCAGCGCAGCGCCCCGCCCTCACCCGGCTCGGCTGGACCGTGTCCCCACGCGGCCTGCGCGGGTGTGACCGGGCGCCGCACGGTCCTCGTGCGGGCGGGGCTGCCGGGGCGCTGAGCGCAGGGCTCCCCTCTGCCGCAGGCCGGTGTCAGCCCCCCAAGGCCCCGGCGCTGCGGGGAAGGCGGGGAGGGCCCGGCGCACAGCCGTGCGTCAACCAGCCGTGCCGCGCCCGCAGGTGAGGCTCCGTGAACACCCGCCACCCTCGTCCCACCCACCGCCTTCCCGCTCGGCCTCAGGGGTGAGGAGCACAATAACCTTGGGGTTACAAAAGGCAGGCCGATTTAAGTTACCCTGGCTAGGGTGATTTTTTTTTAAGTTTATTTGAGAGGGAGCCTGTGCAAGTGGGAGCAGGGGCCGAGCTCAGAGAGAGAGGGAGGGTCCCAGGCAGGCTCCGTGCTACCAGCACAGAGCCCGGCGCGGACCCTGGGCCTTGACCCTGGGATCACGACCTGAGCTGGAATCGGAGTCGGATGCTTAACTGACTGAGCGGCCCGCGTGCCCTGGGCAGTAGGATTTCTAGCCCTGAGGGTATCGTAATGCTAACGGCCGTTCCGTAGGATGGTGTATTATTATTCTTCCTCACATGAAGTGCTTTTCATCCCCCCTTTTACCTATTAGCAGCCTACTTACCCGTCAGTGTTTTGACAAGTGCCTTCAAACCAGAATGAATTTTAAATATATTTGATAGCATTAACTCTTACACTCGATGCAAAGTCTTCTTGATGCGATATTTTGTTTTACTTTTATTGCTGCATTTTTAATGCAAATTTGTCACAATGCTCCTTTCTGTCAGCAGCTATTATTTAACAAAGACGTCATCCAATGTGAGTCTGCCTGGAGCTCGGTCCAGTGCCTGCGGGGTGGCTCGTCTGTGCCAACCAGCTCTCCTGCTACCGTGGCCCGTCCCGGAGCAGCCCTGCCCGTCTCTCGTGCACAGAGCACTTCCTCAGGACACGCGGTAAGGGTCCCGTGTCCGCACTGCCCACGCTGCTGCCGCCGTGGCCTGCATCACCCCCCACGTGCGGGCTGGGAAGCGGGGTCCCACTCGCCCCCTGCGGACAAGCTTGCTGCATGTTCATAAACACACAGATCCCATGACTTAACACGCACAGGTCACTTTTGCTTAGTCTTTCAGGAATTTAACCAATTTTTTCTTCTCAAAATATCCTAACTAGAAGATACTGGTTTTGCCAGGAGCAGTCGGGAACACACTCTATCTCAGTGTACAAATAAGCAGGTTGGCATAACGGGACGCAGATGGCATCTGAGAACAGAACGGGACGCATCATAAATTTGTCTGCGCTGGAAATTTAGCAACACAGGTAGCTGGTGGGAAAAAACCCAAGTGTGGGGTTAAATGAAGCTTTCCTTTCTATATGCCATTCCTGCAGTTCACTGAAACCAGCCAAACGAGAGATACGTGGCACCATCAGGCCAGTAAAAGCCCTTCTGCGCTACTCACGAACTACTGCTTACACCAGCCCTTGTTCCGTCCCAGGGGCACCCAGCCGGGTGACAGGCAGCCAGGAGCACAGGGCCGGACTTGCACACCTACGGACCCGCATCTGAACCTCCTGCGATTATTCTACACAGTGAGGTGAGGTCTGCAGTGCCGCAGGGGCTCTGCCTGCAGCGGTAGCTGAGCTGAGAGCGACCGGTTTCACATGGGGATCTGGCAAAGCAACAACATTCAACTGCGTATCGGCAAGCTTCCGGTGCCACTGCCGCAGGACTTCTCTCCCTGAAACACACCAAAACGCTTGAGGACGTCGTTCCAGCTGCAGGGCAAACGCAGGAGACGCTGACGCTCCGTCCCAAAGCGACGGGTGCACCTACTCACAAAGGACCAGTTAGATACTGGCGTCACTCTACCTGGAGCGTCTGATCTGCCAGGAGCACAGAGCCAGCAAGGAGGTGGGGCACCCCCAGGCCAGGCCGGGTCAGTCCTGTGTCCGGGGACGGGTCTGCCTGCCCCCCAGCTCCGTTCAAAGGAAGAGCAAGCCGACCTGGGACTTCCAAGTTCCCACTGCTCCGTTGCTGTAGCTCATGCTGGTGAGGCCACACTGTGTAAACCTTGCAGAGTTTTGTTAAATAGGATGAAATGTTGTGTTACAATGTAAAGTGAATAAAAGCAGGCTATAAAATCGTATACCGTGTCTCTCAACAATATAAAAGTGATGGACAGAGAGGGTCAAATACTTCTGAAGGCTCAAAATAAAAACTGAAAGTTTGCTGTTCTGTTTGCGGTTTAAAGAAGGGAAGCTTGTACTTGGGTCATTCCTGCAAAGTCTTTCTTCTGTTTCTGAGTCGGTCACACGCCCGGTCTTACTGGCAGCTCCACGGTGACTCCATGCAATGCGCATTCGCAGGTGCTTAGCTCTGATAGACCCACACAGCTCCCTGTACTCACTTCTCCACGGATTCCTTGAGAGGTCACTGGACCTAACCACCCACGGGGCCCAGGAGGCACCCACAAACCACGAGGCAGAGACAGCCGCCACTGTGCTTGCAAGGGTCTCCTCCTGGTAAAGGGGTTCACCTCGGCCAGCTTGCCTTCAGTTCTCCCCACGCCAGGGGCTGCTGCACACACTTCCCACATCGGCTCCTTCCCACACTTTACTGGAGCCTGGCCAACAGCTCACAGGCTCACTTTTCCTCTCTGGGAAGACTTCTCAGGTCCCTGATGCCCCTCAAAATGAAAATGCTCTTTCTCTTTTCCAGATAGTTCATCTCCATCTCTTACCACCTCTTTTGAGGACCTTTATCACTCTCCATTTATAAAAAAGCTAATTATCAATAATGTGTCTATTTATGTTTTAACACAATACAGCAGGCTCCCTTCATACGTGATGCAACTTTCTACCTTCCAAAGTTCTGACTAGGTATCCCCAAACCCTTTTCAGCTTAGGCATATAAAGCCCTTTTCAAAAGCCCAAGAAGGTAATTCCCCAGATGACATTAGTAAGGTCACATACGTGAAAAATGTAAACTTTTATGCTAAGGACTGAATGCTCATTATTCTGGGGAAAATTATGTTTTATTCAAAAGTGATTTTCAAAAAGGGCAAAAATTCTATTAATAGCAACGTAAACTTATGATTGATTTGCTGCTATGGTCATGTATATTTCTTTAATAAAAGTATCTGTATGCATGTGCCCGACACTAACCACGTGAATAATGTTTTAAATACTTTAGAAAAGTAGTCTCCCTCACACGGTCAAACCAATCTCTGTTGACAAACCTCTTTATATAGTTAATTCTCTCAAAACTGCACCCCACAAATTCCTACTAACTCCTTAGCTGAACAGAGATAGTTTATTTTGTAGTTGCTATTTTAAGGGAACTTCAATAATCTGGAGACCACACTCTGTAAGAACTTTTAACAAAACCACTCTACCAAGACTCCATCAACTTACAGTTAAGGGAGATATTACATTACAACTGATTTTTTATCAGGGTAAAACATACACAATGTTGACCATTTATTTCTTTTGAAAATAAAGTGCATGGCTCAGCAGCATGAAGTACATCCACGACCCGAACCATCTCCTGAACTTCTCATCTTCCTCAACTGAAGCCTCATCCCCATTAAGGAACTTCCCAGCCCCACAACTACCATCACGCTTCTGACTCCATGAATGTAACCACTCTGAGTGCCTTGTACGTTGTCTTGGCAGCTGTCATACCGCACATCACGTAGTCTTCGAGCCCTTCATGTTTGAGTATGTGTCTCCAGGCATCTGCCCACGGAAACTTGAGTTACTTCCACCTTTCGGCTTCGTGAATAATGCTGCCATGAACAGCGGTGTAGATGTATCTGCTCAAGTCCCTGTCTTCAGTTATTTTGAAATGGAAAGGAAGTTGTTGGATCAGGCGGTAATTCTGTGTTTAATTTCTACAGGAGCCGCCGCACTGGTTTCCCCAGGGGCTGCACCAGGACACACTCTTCGTGGCAGCAACTGGGGTTCAGCTTCTTCATTCTTGCCGACACTCACTTTCTGCTCTCTGCTAACAGCCGCCCAGGGACACGGAGGGCCGCTCGCGTGGTCGTAACGTCCAGCGCCCCAGCGAGCGGTGACGTGGAGCATGCTTTCAGGTGCTCACTGGCCGGCTGCAAAGCTTCTCGAGAAATGTCTACCCAAGTCCTCTGCCCATTTTATAAACTTCTGTTTTAGGTTGTTGCCGAGCTGTGGTAGTTTTGTTTGTTTGTTTTAACATAGTCTGGATACTAATCTCTTATCAGATACAGAATTTGTAAACGTTTTCCCCCATCTTATATGTTACCTTTTCCGGCAGTGTCCTGTGGTGCACGGAAGTTATTCTGATGAAATCCAATTTACGTTCTTATTTGTGTTCCATGGTGTTTTTCGTGTCATGTAAAAAATCACTGCCAAATTCTATGTTATGAAGCTTTCCTCCATGTTTTATTCTAAGAGTTTTATAGTTTTTGTTCTTAAGTCTTTGAATCATTGAGAGTTACTTTTTTAATAGATGGTGTAAAAGGTTCAGTTTGTCCCTCTGCTTGCGGGCGGTCTAGTTTTCTCAGCACCACTGTCGAAGAGGCTGTCCTTTCCCCACGCCGTGGCCTAACCTCCTTAATGAAACCCTTTCACCGCGTATACGAGGATTTATTAACGGGCTCTCTGTTCTACTCCATTCTCTACGTCTGTCTTTGTGTCATACTGCGCTGTTTTGATTACTGTCGCCTCGTAGTTTTATAATCAGGAAGTGCTGAGACCTATAACTGACATTTAAAAGCCACAGGTCAAACTTGTTCAATAAAAAAAATGGAAAGACTCACAGTCTACCACAGAAGGGGGGGCTCTAGCAATCTTTTAGAAAATTCCTCACGATGGGCCCCCGTCTTTATAATATCTTAGGTAAATCACAGCTTCTGTTCTTGTTGGTTTATGGTGCTCAGCACCGATATTTTTATTGAACTCACTTGGAGTTCTTTGGGCACAGGTAGGATAACCCAGTGTTGTGGACTAGGGTACAAAGCAGCAAATGGGAAAAAAGGTGCTACATTTGAAGGCAGAAAACGTGGATCTAACCCTGCCCCACATCTAACGGGTACAAAGCCTGGACAAGGGTATTCAGTTCTTTGAGCATACACTGCAAAGGCGTACTCATATCTGTCCTCTGTAACGTATCAAATTGCAGCAAGAATAGAAATTTGCTCATTAGTGAAAGATCGTAGCCTCTATGGAGAAATATAACACCAGGAAAGGAATGGTGCTACGAGGACGGTCAGTCACACCGATGAACAGCAGGACAAGTTGACACGTAATGTGTCCTGCTGGCCTGGGTAGACGACACATAAACGTCTCCAAGCAGCAGACAACAGGACAGCGGGTGGGAGTGCGGCTTGGGGTCTGCGGGAAACGGCTGGGAGTGCTGGCCGAGCCGCCTGCGAGCTTCGCGCCCCCATCCGATGGGACCCTCTCAAGTCCGCGCGTCCTCGTGGTGACACAGGACAAGTTCTACAGCCCAACTCACGAGGTTGTCGGAGGCTAAATGACATCCTGGGTACCTGAGCCCGATTCTCAGTTCATGTTAAGAAAGCCTGACTTAGGAGCACCAGCATTAGGAGATGCTGGAGTCTGGGACGTGCAGCCGCCGTCCCTGCCCCGCACGACGGAGCGTCTGCAGACGCGGCCAAGCACACTTACCCTGTCTCCCGGTCGTACCATAGGCTCCTGCTTTGTACCTAATTTATGCAGAATGTTGTAAGCAACCTTCATACTTCTTGTCCACAGTTTGCCTATTAATACAAATGATAAAGACACAAGTAAGCGGCCACGCGCATTTTCAGTTACGCACCACCACGCACATTCAACCAGAGACAGTCCTCATTCATTTTCAGCCTTCAAGTAACCCTGAGTCTATGGAATCATGAAGGAAAATAAGGGCCAGAGACTCTGACTCATAGTCTCTGAGAGGCCTGAACACCGAAACGAGGTGTGCAGAGCAACGACAGCAAAGCCACGGAAGGCGGGGAGGGTTTCTGGGGAGTAGAGTCTGGCAGGGACAGTGACTATAGTGCATCACTGCCGATTCACGTTATGCAAAAAAAAAACCTGACACATTTCTACTGTTAACAGGTCCTTGCTCATGAAATGAAATGAATGAATGCAAAGGGCACTTAGGACACACTTTGCAGGGCCTGATCCCTCTCCCTCCCCAAGTCCTGAGTTTCTCAGCATCACATCTTCCTTGGCTTGGGGATTTAGGATTTTTTTGACAGTAATGTTTGAAGTTAAAGATGGTGGTAAATATTCAGAGCTAAAATTTGAACTCCAGAAAAATATGACCACAAAAAAGAGGATTTAAAAAAACAGATCACAAAGGACGACCAGCTGGAAGAGGCTCTGGGGTCCCCCCTCTCCTCCATCCTGGCACCTCTGCTCCCACAGCTCGACCTGGACAGGGGACAAAGTGACTCTGACGTCCAACATGAGCTCTGAGACACATACGGGGTTTCACATCAGCTTCCACGTGCTTTCAGAAGTGGGCGAGGCGTCATAAGTTATATCAATGTGATCGTAACAACCAGAGCAACTTTAACATTCCCATAAATACAACCACTGTTTTAATCTTTTTCCTATTTTAGATGTAAAAACAAAGTTTTTTATTTATACCATTTGTTTTAAATGAAAAAAGCCAAATTTGTTTTATTTCACATTGGATTTTGCAGCAACCCAAATTAGGATTATTATTGTTTATCTACCACAGGATTTATTAACTTGTCTGCCCCTTAGTGACTTGGGAACAAACAGAATGTTCTGTTATCTTAATTCCTCTAATTCCTAGGGTATTCCTGGTTCACAGTATGTGCTCAGTACCTGCTTCTTTGTTTCGCTGATGTTGCAGGCAACCTATAAAAAGCACAAAATGACAGCATGGCTGGCCGTACTTCGGGTAATTACCAGACCTGAAGCCCTCCGCTCCGCTCCACCCTCCCCTCTACAGCCTCCTCAACACCGAGTCCTCAAGAGCAGCCACCTGACAAGCATCTGGTATTTTGCTGGGTGGCTGTATTTTTTCCACAAAAACCACCACTAGCTATTAGAAATAATTCAGTGATTTTTCATCTAAACAAAACAAATATTTTGTGCCTTGAAACCTCTTTAATATGAGTAATATTCAGGAATCACAGCTAAATAAACAATCAATTTGTAGTAACTGAAAAACTCAACGTACTTTCAGAACAAATCAGTTACAGTCAGATGGTCAGCACCCTTATGTTTTGTTACAGTTTCAATGTCATTCTCCATTTGAATATTATCATACACTCACTCACACAGAAGCCAGTCTACAACTGGGAACTTGAAAAGGGCAACATACTTTTGGCAAAATACCAGAAATACCACTTGCTGTTATTCAAGGAGAAAAGAGTAAGTTGCTGTTGTGAGTTGAAGGAGACACAACAGTTCTTCACTGACTTACAGAGGAGGACAGAAGCCATTCCAATTAAGACAAGTTACTGGGAAAAGGATCATTCAGGATGGAAGGGCAGATAATGCATTTTCCTGAAAGCTAATGCAAAGCCAGGCTTATAAGAAACGTTAGCTTTTTCAGCTTTTTCATGCTGAAAAGAAATGGCAGTAATTAGTAACAAGAAATGAAAGTATAAATCCCACCAGGAAAGGTAAATATAAAATAAAGGTAGTGGACTACATAAAGCTGGTATAAAGGTAAAAGGACAAAAGTAGTAAATAGGGATACACAAAATAACAAGATGTAAAATGTGACATGGAGAACATGAAACGTGGGAGAGAAAAATATGCACATTTAGAATGTACTCAAACCTGAGTTGTTATCAACTTAAAATAAATGGTTATAAACATAAGTTGTTATATGTGAGCCTCATGGTAACCACCAAGCAAACACACACAAAATATAAAGGGAAAGGTATGTAAGCCTAACACTAAAGAAAGTCCTCAAACCACAAAGGAAGAGAAAAGGAACAGAGAGACCCTACAAAAAACAACAAGAAAACAATTACCAAAATGGCAGTAAGTACCTCTTATGAATCGTCACTTTAAATGTAGAATGACTAAATTCTCTCATTAAAAGACAGAGTGGGTCAGTGGGGAAAAAAAAACCCAAGAACAATCGATCTGCTGCCTACAAGGGACTGCATTCAGATGTGAGGACACACACAGAGAAAAGGGAGGGGTTGTGGAAGGATACTTCACGGAATTGGGGACATAAAGAAAGATGTGTGGCTGTAGTTCTACCAGACAAGACACACTTTAAACCAAAGGCGGTAATAAGAGACAAAGTAAGGGAGGTGCATAATGACAGGATCAGTCCACCAAGAAGACCTAACATTTGTAAACATTTATGTATCCAATATAGAAACACCTAAATCTATAAAGCAAATATTAACAGACCTAGAAGGAGAAATTAACAGCAATACAATAATAGCAGGGAACTTTAATACCCCACTCACATCAGTGGATAAATCATCTGGACAGAAAACCAGTAAGGAAACAGTGGCCTCGAACAACGCATTAGACCATATGGACTTCATTTTTATCGAAATACACATTCTTCTCAAGTACACATGGAATATTCTCCAAATCATACTTTAGGCCACAAACAAGTCTCTATAAATTTAAGAGGAACTGAAATCATATCAAGCATCTTTTCTGATCCATAATGGTACGAGGTGAGAAGTCAATTATAAGAAGAAAACTGGAAAAGTCACAAGTACATGGAAATTAAACAACATGCTACTAAACAACCACTGGGACAACAAAAATTTCAAAGAAGAAATAAAATACCTGAGACAAGTGAAAATGGAAATACAACACACCAAAACTTACGATTTGTAGCAAAAGCAGCTCTGAGACGGAAGCCCATGGCAATACAGGCGTACCTCAAGAAACAGGAAAAATCTCAAGTAAACAGGCTAACTTTACACCTCAAGGAGCCAGGAAAAGAACAGATGAAGCCCAAGTTAGTAGAAAGAAGGAAGCAACACAGATCAGAGCAGAAATGAGTGAAACAGGGAGTAAAGAGGCAAGAGAAAAGATCGACAAAACCAAGACCTGGTTCTTTGAAAAGGTAAACAAAGCTGACCTCTGGCTAGACTTACCGAAAGAAAATGAGACTGGACTCCCACTTAAAATCTCAGATGAAATCAGAAATGAAAGAAGTTAACCAACACCACAGAAATACAACGGATCACAAGAGACCACCGGAACGAGGACATGGCAACAAACTGGGCAAACTAGAAGAAATGAATAAATCCTAGAAACATACAATCTTCCAACAATGAAGCATGAGGAAACAAAATCTGAATAGAATGATTACTATTAAGGAAATTTAATCAGTAATTAAAAACCTCCCTACAAACAGACGCCTTTCCTAGTGAATTCTACCAAACATTCAAAGAAGATTTAATACTTATCCTTCCCAAACTCTTCCAAAATAGAGGAGTTTGATTCCAAACTCATTTTATGAAGCCAGCGTTATACCCTGATACCAAAACCATACAAGGACACACAAAAAACAAAATTACAGGCTCTAACTCCTGATAAACATAGATGTAAAATTCCTCAACAAAATATTAGCAAACTGAATTCAACAATACAGTAAAAGGATCATACACTGTGATCAGCAGGATTTACTCCAGGGATATGGGGACGGTCCAATGTCACCAAATCAATCAACAGGACATACCACATTAACAAAATGAAGAATCTAAACCATCTCTCCATACATGCAGAAAAAAAGCAGTTGACAAAATTCAACATCATTTTTTGATGAAAAACTCTCAACAAAGTGAATGTAGAGGGAACTTATGTCAACATAATAAAGGCCGTACATTCCAAACCCACAGCTAGTATCGTGCACTGAACTCAGGAGCAAGCCCAGGACACCCGGTCTCACCGCTTTGATTCAATGGTTTTGGAAGTCCCAGTCAGAGTAACTGGGCAAGAAAAAGACTTAACAAGCATCCATATTGGAAAGGAAGGAGTATAACTATCTGTATTTGAGGATGATAGGATTTTATATATAGAAAACTCTAAAGATGCCACCAAAACCAAAACAAAGAAATAAACCAAAAAACCCTGTTACAACTAATGAATGAATTGAGTAAAGTTGCAGAGTGCAAATTGATATACAAAATTTAACTGCATTTCTATAAACTAACAATAAATTATCAGAGAAATTAAGAAAACATTTAGAGTTGCATCAAAAAGAATAATAAGTACCATGAATAATTTCAACCAAGCGGCCAAAACACCTAAACTCTGAAAATTGTAAGACGCTGATGAAAGAAACTAAGGAAGACACAAGTGAAAGGCATTCCATGCTCATTAATTGGGAGAAATAATATTGTTAAAACGTCTGTACTACCCAAAGCAATCTACAGACTCAACGCAATCCCTATCAAAATATGACATTTTTCATGAAGGTAGAACAAAGAATCCTGACATCTGTATGGAAACACAAAAGGCCCCAAACAGCCAAAGCAATCTTGAGTAAGAAGAGCAAAGCTGAGGACAGCCGGCTCCCTGATTTTAAACTATAATACAAAGCAACAGTAATTAAAACAGTGTGGCACTGGCATAAAACACAGATCAATGGAACAGAGAGCCCATAAATAAACTCATGCATCTATGTCAATTAATTTACAGCAAAGGAGTCAAGAAAACACAATGGGGGAAAGGCAATGTCTTCAATAAAAATAAGTGGCAGTGGGAAAACTGGACAGTCACATGCAGCAGAATGGAACTGAACCACTGTCTCACACCATACCTAGAAATTAACTCAAAATGAATGAGAAAACTGAACATAAGACTTGAAACCATAAAACTCCTAGAAGGAAACCGGTGCTACGATCCTTGACATGTGTCTTGGGGATGATTACTTGAATCTGACACCAAAAGCAAAAATAAACAAGTGGGATCACATCACACTAAAAAGCTTTTGCACAGCAAAGGAAACCATCCATACGATGAAAAAGCGAATTACAGGACAAAAGATATTTGCAAATCATTCATTCGATAAGGGGTTAAATCTTAAACATACAGAGAATTCGAACAACTCAATGGGAAAAAAAAATAATGGATTAAAAAAGGGCACAGGAACTGAATAGACATTTCTCCTAAGACACACAGATGGCCAACACCCCTCATCATAAGGGAGACTGTACCAAAGTCACGGAGATACCACTGCACACCATCAGAATGGCTAGTATCAAAAAGACAGGAGATAACAAGTGTTGGCAAGGATGTGGAGGAAGGGGAACCCTCTTGCACTGTCGGTGGGAGGGAAACTGGTGCAGCCGCTCCGGAAAAACCAGTATGGGGGTTCCTCAAAAAGTTAAAACTAGTAATCAATGGATGAGTGGAGGAAGAAGAGGTGGTGTATGTACACGGGATTATTTTTTAATTTTTTTTAATGTTTTATTTATTTCTAGGAGAGAGAGAGAGAGACAGCATGAGCAGGGGAGGGTCAGAGAGAGAGGGAGTCACAGACTCTGAAACAGGCTCCAGGCTGAGCTGGCAGTCAGCACAGAGCCTGACACGGGGCTCGAACCCACGAACCGCGAGATCATGACCTAAGCGAAAGTCGGACGCTTAACCGACTAAGCCACCCAGGTGCCCCTGTACACGGGATTATTATTCAGCCATAACAAGGCATGAAATCTTGCCATTTATGACATGGATGGACGTGGAGGCATTATGCTAAGTTAAACAGGTAAGACAGAGAAAGACAAATACCTTGTGACCTCACTTACTTGCAGAATCTGAAACTCACGCTCACAGATACATGGAGAACCTCCAGAGGTGAGGAAGGAGAGGGAGGGAGAAATGGGCGAAGGGCGTCAAAGGTACGAGCCTCCAGTTATAAAATAAGTCATGAGACAGAATGTACAAGATGGTGACTACGGTTAATGCCAGTTAATAATAATTGTGCACTGCATATTTGAAAGGTGGGGGGCATGAAGTCTCAACGGATTTTGTCAACTTAAACCAGTATTTTAACTGAGAAATAGCTGGTAAGACTCTAAGACAGCCATGTGCATGTAGAAAAAAAGAGACTCCGACATGATGTATGCACTGTCTTATTACATATTAATTTTAATCTCAATTGGATTTCTGTGGGGAGTACGCAGCCACAGGAAGAGCATAGGCCTGAGGAAGGGGCCGGGGGGTGAGGCCGGGTTCTCAGAGCTCACGCACAGCACGGCGGCGAAGCAGCCTGAGAAACACAGCGCCAACCACACAAAACACACAAGCACGTAGAAAGGTTTCCCAGTGCTTCTCCAGCTCAAGCACGTAAGTATTTCAAAATATCTGGAGCAAAGGCCAAGTCATAAATCATAAAAGGAAGAAAAGGAAGAGGAAGAGGAAGAGGGAGGGTGGGCCTGGTGAAAGCGCACCGCAGCGACGGAGGAGGAATTTGCAGGTGTCTTGCTGAGAACCGGAGGAAGCGAAGATTCACGGTAGAAGGAAATTCGTAGTTTAGCACGATTTATTTTTATTAATTGGAGATTCTAAGATGCTGGTTCTCCAGTGTTTTATTTATGTTGGTAAATGGAGAACAGTGGATTGTTCTACAGGGATGTCTACAACCTTCACTCGCTGTGTGCATTTTCCATCAAAGATCCCAAGTTTCTCGGCTGCCCTCCGGCTTTGCAGGAAGTTAAATGAGAGCAGAAAGTGAACGACAAGACTGTAAATGGCCTCGTCTGCCAGTGAGACCGAGTTCCTTCGTAGGAGAACAATTCTCCTTCAGTGAGCTCTTCTCTGTGCGCTGAGCAGCACCCGGTCGTTACACGTTCATCTATCTCAGGGTTTGTACGTGTAAAGCACCTTTCTACGGGTTTTCTGGGATTACAACGCTTCCCTTTTACATCCTGATAAACTATCACCGTGTTTTTGGATATGCGTTGCTTACATTCCTTTAACAGGTGAAAACCAAGAGTGACCCACAGCACACATCTCATACCAACAAGTAAACTGCAACAAGACACTGGTGACTGAAGAGCAGGGGGTGTGACACCGGGGTGCAGACACAAATTCCCTTAGACAGCTTTCGGCGTGCATCTTACACCGCAGCTGTGGTAACGTGCTCGAAGGCAAAGTCAGCGCGCCTCTGCTCTTTGTCCCCTCCGGAGAAGGGCTGCCCTCTGATCAAGGTCCTCAGCCTGTAGAACGGTCTCCTCTGAGGGCCCAGCCCGGCGCCGGACCCGTGCAGTCAGCGCCTCGCACGTGTCAGCGCACGCCTGTTGGCGGCCAGGTGGGTGCTGTGCTGCGTGTGCGTACGGCAGGTCCTGGGGTTCCCCGTACGTGGCAGGTGAGCCCCGGAAGAAGCTAGGGGGCAGCATTCCAGCTACACCACCAGCTCCGGGGCTGCATCTGGCCAGGGCTGAGGGCCACAAAGGAAAGTCTTCCATCTACTTGACTGAGTAAAATCTATTTCCAACTTCTAAAAAGCATAATGAAAAAATGAAGCTAATGCCTCTCTGCGGGTGAAATGCTCCTTATCTACTTAGTAGTATCTAACAGCGCCAGACAACAGCAGAGCTGGGGACGTATGCTCCTGAACCTTGAACCCATTTCTGTCCGTGAGGAGCACGGGTATCGACTGAGGCTACGGCGGGTACCTCCCGAGGCCCCGCATCCCGAAAGGCTGCACTCTGTGTCACGTAACGTAACATGTGCCAGTGCAGAAACAAGCCCCCTTCCTCCCCGGGTAAAAGCACTGCTGCTACGGAAACAAAACCGCACGCGTGCAGACAGAAGGCCACCTAACCGCACGCGTGCAGAGTCCTGCAGCTCTGGTCTTGTGTTATTCGGCTGGTCTCTCTGCAAAACCGCAGCAGGTGACGTGAAAGTAACCCAGCCGTCTGCCTTCTCCAAGGCCCCCACCCAGGGAACAAAGAGAACAAAATCTTTCTGGTACAGATAACTATTTCCAAAAGTTTACAGGTTTCACTAACTGTACTGAATGAAGAACTAAAGAAAACCTAGTTTCTCTTGCTTTTTTGAATAACCATTTTGGAAATGGATTTTGTTTTTTCTGAAGGATACATGTCAAAGAGTTTAGATACATATTCTTTAGTTACCCATCCTTCCTGAAGGCATGACTTTTAAGAATAACACACCTTCCAAGAGGTAAAATCCACACTCTTATTAGGGTTAGGCTGATTCTTTTTGGTACCCATTTCCGGATTTTACTCAACAAACATTTAATAAGTAACAACTTTACACATTCAAACTATTTACTTTTCCTAAAATATTTCCTAAGTCCATTTGTTTCTGTACTGGACATCTAAGGCAGTACAAACTAAGTCAGGCACCCCAAGAGTGGCCGCGGTGTGCAGGCACGGGCAGGAAGGTGACGAGGCGTACAGAATTACCGTAAGTGAGGATGTACAGGGGCTTCCCGTTTGTGTCCATCGTGGTCAAGCATGGGGCCTTCGGGGATATGGTCCCCCACCGCTGCAGCGCAGCTTCTAGAGATGGGGGCCAGTTCGTCACCACTCCCAGCTGCTCCCCGCGTACTGCCAACATTTGTGCTCCCTCTGGCTTTGGCTGGTTCGGATCCGGTTGCTGAACTAAATACATTGGAAGTTTTCAAGAAAAATACGTGCATATTAGCACAATCACTGTTCTCTTCCTTTCAGAGAAGGTAGGAGACTTATACATGTTTACTGGTGGACTGAAAACACGCACACGTGCTTTTCTAAATTCACAGCCAGCACCTACATACGAGCCACATGGACATAATGGAAGCACTCAGTTCTTACACTTTCCAAGGCAATGTCGGGATGGGGATGTAGGGAGACCTGAGTGCATCTGTAAAGCCACATGTGAACTATGTGTTTTAACATGCCTGGACTCGGGGATTGCAACAGCTGCTTAAAATATCAATTGCTGGGGCGCCTGGGGGCTCAGTCGGGTGAGCATATGACTCCGGCTCAGGTCATGGTCTCACAGTTCCTGGGTTCGAGCCCCGCGTCGGGCTCTGTGCTGACAGCTCAGAGCCTGGAGCTGCTTCAGATTCTGTGTCTCCTTCTCTCTCTGACCCTCCCCTGCTCATGCTGTCTCCCTCTCTCTCTCTCTCAGAAGTAAATTTAAAAAAACATCAAAAATTAAAAATTATCAATTCCTGATGTTCACTAGTAGTTCTGGACTCCAGGGCTCAAATCTTATTAAATTATATTTTGCCCTTAAATACAGAGATGTGAATTTGAATTTGCAGCAATTACTATGAATAACCAACCTGAGCACATTTTCTTGAGTAAAACAAACAAAAAATGCCCAATAATGCAATACAATCTTCCCAACTCTTTCGTTTAGGTGAGCAACTGTTATGCTTCTCACTTTTGGAAAAGGTTTCTCTCCCTCACAGTCGGGGACAATCTCCGCCTGCTGGCCAGATAACCAGCAGTGTCTTACTTGGGTTACAAAGAACAAGAAAATAAGGGGTTTGGGTTTCACATAGTCCTGAATTTGTGCAGAGGAGCAGGAAGTGAGCCCAGCCACACGCACACTCTGCATTCTTCTTAACGAGCTTACTTAGAGAGCACGTGTCACCTCGAGCCACGGTTTTCTATGCTTCCCCCCATTTCTGCTACCTGATGGAGGCCTGGCTCACAGCCGTAATCACATCCTGGGAGGGCCACGAACACACAGCCTGGGTATCTATCCAGCCTTGCCCACACTCGGTCTGTCTTTAAAGGCAGCTTTGGGAACAGTGCCTAGAGTCTCCAGAGAAGATTCCTGTCTTACAGGGGCACCGAGACTGTTACTTTTAACAGCCCAGAAGGCACATCATGATGGTCCCTGGGATCACGCAGACACAGAATAAGTGGGGGGCAGAGGCCCCTTTCACCTTCCAGCAATTCTTCAAAGTCATCAACAAAGAATTCCCGTAACGGCGGCCGCTTTGGTCGTTTGAGTGTATTGACGAGCTGTTGAATTTTCGCCGACACCCGGCTACTTACTGGCACACCTGGAAAACAGAACCACCGACAGAAGAAGGAACAGTCACATCTTACATCACCACCAGGGTCTACTGCACTTTCGTGGCCTGGGAGCCCTGGGCATGTGGAAAGCAGGGCACAGCATGTGACTCACGCTCAAGCCTGCTTCTCTGGGCCTGGTCACAGAACGGCCACCACACTGAGGACATACCGACACTGCAGAACGAGGAAGGACGGAGCCCCACCACTGTCCTTCATCATCGCGGAAGGACAGCCTCCTTCTGCAGACGTCTACAACACCAAAGCAGCCCCCCCCAGTCACTCTGTTCTCCGCTTAGCTTCAGGTCATCCCTCTCCCAAGTGCTCACGGTCTTCCCACCTCCTGCGAACTTCTTGACTGCTGAACCAACATTTGCTACTGGTTAGCAAACACATCACACTCAAAGTATTTCTGTTTCTTCTCATGACTGAGTTCCTACCACACTGATACTTTTCCTATGAGGAAACGCTCCTGCACAACTTGGAGGCCGTTGGCACTTTTTGTCCCTGTGCCACCTTCCACAGGAGCCACGTAAAAAAGGTGATAAGCCAGGTCCAGGAGTCCACTGTACATGTACAAGAAACACACCCGACCCTGTGTACAGAAGGACAATTTCGGAGAAACGAGGATTTATAAAGGAGAAAAAATAACTGTCAGAAGACCTACCATCGCCAGTCTCCATGAGCTCCGCGTTGCCATACTTTGGTGCCGTTCGTGAGGTCGTTGAACCTTGTGGCCTTTCTACTTGTATTGAGTGTTCTGAGGTGTAAGTGGTTACGTCAGGAGGTGCAGAGTGATTTTCTATAAAGAAGCAAATTACAAGTTTTCTGATCATTGAAATGGAGTTATTCTGAAGGGTAAGTGAGCAATGGGGCTTGAGAAACTGCCACATTCCAAGGAGAGACCGAGATTCTGAATCCAAGTGCACCGCAGAAATCTCAGTATAAAGATTACGTTTAAGGTAATTCATACTGCTCAAAATGGAACCAACTCCAGACACAATATTACAGCTGGAGCCCATCAACGAAGCACTTTCAAATCACATTTTCAAACAGCCAGTGGAAAGAGAAATATTACAAGTTAGGGGTTTGTTCATAAAAGAGTAACTTTCTCGTCTGTCATAACAGAGGCAGTGAAGAGCTCAAGCTTTGCAGGTAGAGGGCCTGGGTCTGCACCCACGCTCTGCCGTCCCTCCAGGTGCTGGGGAGCATCAGTGCCCTCCTCACTACGTGGGAGTAACACAGCCAGTCTCCCGCATGGTAGAGTAAGTGAAATTAAATGTACGTTAAGCTCGTAGGACATTTTATGATAGAGGGTAAGCATTCAAGAAATATTAGCTTTTCTATTTGTTTTAGCATGCGTGATACTGAATAATCATTCAAAATCGTGTTTATATAATCCGATATGAATTGGCGTGGTGTTACCCATGAGACTGGCCCCAGTCCCTCCCACTACAACTGTGATTCCCAAGGGAAGTGCTCACTGCTTAAGTGGGGGAAAGCACAGGTTTTGTACTTATTAAATAAGGCACGAAAGAAGTGTGTCAATGAGACCGTCGATGACACCTTATATATCCCCAGTTCTAACAATAGGCACTACACCGTGAATTCTGATTTTGTTACCTTTACTAGGCAGCAGCTTGGCCAGGTTCTGTACCTACGCATGAGAGAAGCGGTGCAGGCATCGGACGGCCCGTTTCCTCTGGGTGCTGCCCCACATCAGCACCACACACAGGGGCTCTTTAAACACCAAAACCACCAACCAAAAGCACACACAAGAGGACAAACAGAGCACCAAACAGATCGTGTGAAGAACACCTTTTACAGTCCGCCATGATAAAAGGAGGCAGAGCATTACACTGTTGGCCCTCAGCTAGGAACATGCAGGCTGGGGACTCAAATCTTAGCCACTCTGAACATGTCCTCAAAGAACCAACTTACGGTTACAAACAGTTTTCACAAGAAGGCGGGTCTGCAACTACGGATGCGTGGATCTCACATCACAAGGGGACCCTGCAGCCAAAGGAGATTAACGTGCACCCTAGGCAAGCTTCACGGGGACAACACAGGGCGGCCAAAGCATCTTGACGTGCCTGGACGGTCCCAGATGCGCTGACCTGCAGGCACGTGGACACACCCAAGGCACCGGGAGCTGGGCTCTGGTGTCACAGGGGTCGGTCATCTGCTCATTGCTGATCCCCTGGGACCAGTTACTAACCGACCTGTGCTTTAAGGTCCTCCTCTGTAAAGTCGGGACGGTGATAATAACACCTACCTGAAGCGGTAAGGCCCCCAAGCACAGCTACTCGCCAAATGGAGCCCCTAAGTGCAGCAGCGGGGGCAGCACGGGCAGAGGCAGGGTCTGAACCCAGAATCGCCACGTGGCAGACAGGTGGACGGGTGCACTGGGCACAGCCCGCGGCAGACAGGCGGACACACTGAGCACAGCCCGCGGCAGACAGGCGGACACACTGGGCACAGCCCGCGGCAGACAGGCGGACACACTGGGCACAGCCGGCGGCAGACAGGCGGACGCGCGCCCTGGGCACAGCCGGCGGCAGACAGGCGGACACACTGGGCACAGCCGGCAGGAGACAGGCGGACGCGCGCCCTGGGCACAGCCGGCAGACTGCTGGTTCTCCACGTCTCCACTTCCTTCTCCAGGAGTGTCACCCCAGCGTGGGCTGAAGTGCGTCCCCTCAAAGTCCCACGTGCAGGTCCTCACCCCGAGCGCCTCAGAATGTGAGCGCACGTGGAGACGGGTCAGGGGTCACCAGGCGACCCCATTCCCACCTAGCAGGTATCCTGACTGTATGGGGATCCCCGGGAAATGGTGACAGACCCCACTTCTTAAACTACATTAACATTTTTTCAGTCCCTAAACAACTTGTAAGCGAAGAGAGGAATGGCAGGAAGTGTGGTGTTTATATACAGAAGGCAACGTGCTTCGTGGCCACTGACTGACGCAGATGACGGGCTACGGGCGTCCGCTCATGGAGAATGACCCCCTGGGCCCCACATCCCGACCCACAGTACCACGCAGAAGGGAGCAACGGGCTCCCCTGTCATACGGCCCCGAGACCACCGTGTACACCCCGCCGCTCCGCGTGTGCGCCTTCCGGGCGAGGTTGGAAAAGCAGGTTCCTCGATGAAACGCTGGACGTGAGGCAGACGGGACCTTCCCAGAGAAGGCCCGCCCGGGGCAGCCGCCGCCCGGGGGTCCTCCCTGCACAGCCGGTGGGGAGCGAGGGCTCCCCCGAGTCTCAGCAGCGCGGTCGGCCCCGCCCGCCTTCCACGCTGCAGGCAAGCCCCCCCCACACACCGGGTCAGGACGCGGCTGCAGAGGGCTCGGCGGTTCACATGCCAGCCTCGCTCCCACCACAGTTCGGAGTCGGGCTGACCCAGCACTGCGTCCCTCCCACACGGTCGCCACGCGAGCCCCTGCAGGCAGGACAGCAGCTGTCGGGTCCTCAGAAGTGCGTGCTGCCATCGGAACAGGCGGCTTCCCTTCGCCCAGGAGCCCCTGGAGTTTGTATCCACAAGTTCCGACCCATGAGGAGAGGCTCCGGGCTCAGGAAGCCTGCACAGGCCTCGGCCCGAGGGGGTGTGATGGGCACAGAGTCTTCATTCTCAACGCAAAGCTTCACGGGGTTTTGTCTGGAAGGGAGCTGCCCCCACGTAGAGGCAGGGCCACGCCGGACGGGGACACAGGAGCGAGGCAGCCGGCGCTGCAGCAGGTGCGCCCACGACCCGCGGGTCTGCTGACCGCTGGCCAGATGGGCGCCCCGCGGTCCCATGCCAACTTTGCTGAGCCGCAGTCTCCCTGCCGCAGAAGAGGAAGGCAGCCACGACCGCTCACCGGGCTGCAGGAACTAAGCGACAGGCGCCCTGGCCCCTGCAAGGACGTCCCTGCCCTCAGGCCCGTCTGTATGTGTGCAGCACGCGAGTGTGCTGGCCGGGGAGGTATTCCTGCTGAACAGCACACGCGGTGCACAAAGGATCAGGACACTTTCGGATCCAAAAATCTTTACTTCAATTCTAAGTATAAAAGCCAAATAAGCAAAGTCTTGAGAGGTAGCGATCCCACGCGCATTTCTGCGAAGAGACAGGAGCAGACGTGCGTCCTAACACCACCGGGGAAGCCACAGGGCTCCGAGCAGCATGGAGGAAACGGACACGAGCGCACAAGGGGCGGGCACGGGCCAGACGTGGGCTGAGCCGCCGGGAGCGGTCGCCGGGAGCAGGCGGCGTGCAACGCGTGTGGCAGCCAGATACCCAGAACGTGGACACACGTGGTTCATGGGAACGTGGAGTCAAGGGTGCTAACCCTGGAGCCTGCCCCTCGGGGGGCCACCCTGACAGGCTGGCCTTGGGGGGCGGGGACTCTTAGCAGGATCGGATGCAGGGGAGCGATGGGGCAGCTTGCTTACGCAGTTCGCGGCGAACACCGCACTCCCGTCGGTGAAGCCCGAAGCATTCTGGAAACAGCAACTACTTCTGTGAACGTCTGGCTAATGACAAGACACCCCAACACACGCTAACGGAACCCCCAGTGACGACGCCTCTGCCGTGTCGGTCGGCACAGGGTGACGGTGACCTCGCCACCACAGGACCCGTGACCACAAGGGAGAGAGAAGAACCCAAGCCGAAGTCTATTTGCTGAATGTACAAATTTGACTATAAACGTACAGCTACATTATCTATTCTGCTTTTTTCTTATTTCTTAGTCTAGAAATGTACCAATAGTTTCTGCTCAAAATTCCACTTCCATGTAGTAACTAATTCATTTTCCTCTCACGTCTTTTGTGAACAAGCCTCCTGGAGTTTAAAAGCAGTCAGTCCACTAATTTTCCCACTGAGCGAGGCGCCTCGACCTCTGATACTGATACAGTGTTTGAGGGGTGTAATCCGGTCTTTTCCCGTTGCCTCAAGCACATGATGTGCACAGGGTTCTGAGCAAATACCACCTGGCAACAATCCAAACACCCTGGTTCTCACTGGAACCTGCGGGGAGCCCCGACACGCGGGGCCCACTTTGTTTCAGCGCAGAGGCCGTCCGGCCCAGGGACCGCACACCACGCAGGACCACAGCCGCAGGGACAGAAACGACCTGGAGGGGGCTCTGCACCGTGTGCACGGGGCCCTGACTGTGCGGGTACGCCTGTGGGGTCCCTGTGTACACGTCAGGGTGAGAACCCGCAGGGACGTGGGATTGCGCTTCAGCAACAGAGGAGAACAGCCCACACTCTGTGGCAGTCTCGTGGGCCTTCGTGGTCTGAAACCACTGGGCTCTCCTCCCCCGATCGGGGGCAGGGGTGCTGTCCTTCCACCCACATAGCTCTCCAAGCGGGACGAGGGGTACAGGCACTTGCTCGGGAACACGTGCACACACACATGCACACACACAATCATACATGCATGTGCACATCTACATATACACACTCTCAGAACACACTCACGCACGTTCTCTTATGCATACCCTCCCTCAGTCTCTCATGCTTTCACCCACACACACACACACTCATATACACGTGCACGTACAAATGTACACTCATGACACACTCATGCACATTCTCTTACACACACACTCCCCCTCACACACACTCACACCCTAGACTTCCCACAGTCTCAACAACAGGGCAAAGGCTGCCAGTTCTCGGACTCTGACGTCTGCTCTGCTGCACAGCTGTAGGACTCCTCTCCTCGGCGTTTCGTTCTATTTTGCCACTGCCTTCTTTCAAAATTTTCACATGGACAGAAATTTCCAGGTATCCTAGGAACCAATCTTTGTACCAAATTCGAGAGGACTGTGATGTCACACACTCGACGGCTGTATTTAGGCTCCGCCGAGACACGAAGCACATGAGTCATGCAGCCTCTCACAGTCTGGGTGAATCCAACCCTCCAGCTGCACTTTCCCCCAGGACTTCATGGGTCACATCACAAAGGGACAGCCGGGTGCAGGGATGCGTTCGTTTGAGGGTATGTGTGTCTCGTGGTAAGATTCCGACGCTTCCTCACAAGTGAGGAGAATCACGCTGCACACGCTTCCTGGGAGGGGGTGAATGGCACAGGTGGACAGCCTTCCGTGTCACACCACCCACACGGGGGCCATGCCACATGCACGGACGCCCTCTCGGGTCCCGTAACACGCAAGATAAAGCCGTATCTCTTTGGTGTGCACAATCTCTTTGGTGTATAATTTTTAACTTATTCTGATCCCAAACGGGGTTCTTGTGCTAACAAAACCGTGCCACTGTCACCCAAGGATGGAAAATTGAACTCTAATACAACCACTTGGCGTTGGACTGTCACTTTACAAAAAGAATTTTCCTATTTTCTTTTTACTCACAACAACTCCGAGAGGAACAAAGGAAAGAAATCATTGTTCTTTTTTTTCTCCACTAAGCAACTAGAGCAGAAAAAGGGGCTCTGAAGCTGCCAGCTGCCATTCATGTGGGGACAGAGGGCAGACCCAACGCTCCTGACCGGCTGCCTGAGCGTGTGCGGCAGACACAGGGGCACTCTGCCGACTCCTCCATCAGCAAGGCTGACTTCAACCTCATTCGGGGCGAGCGCCCTTGGGGCAAAGTCCTAAGCAAGTGGTTTGAGTTTCTTTGAACTTTCTCAAGTAGCTAATAATCTAGAAAACTTGTGCATCTGAGATGTTCGTCGAGTAGTTAATTCACTACCTTTACCTGTTTTCTGGATGTGGGTTCTGCAGACGTGGGCTTGCTGCGGCAAGGAGGGCGTGCTGTCAAGCAAGCACCCTGAGGACTGTGTCCTGTGAGCACGGTGACCCCTGCCCACGTGGCTATTGGAAAGGGGTCCTTCCTGAGCTATCCCAGAAACCACAGTCAAAGCACGTAGTTCACTTTGTGAAATATTTTTACTGTGAACTTTCAAAATCTTAATCTATAACTAAAACCAGGTGAGAACAGATCTGGACGCCAGCAGCATCCCGCCCGCACCGGATAAAGGCCTCGCGCCGAGGCACGCACCCCATGTGTCTGCAATTCAGGCAGCACTGTGGCTCGTCCAATGCCCTCTCTTTTCTGCTAGAAATTCTTATTTAACTTCTTTTCACACAACTTTGAAACATCTCAAGCAATGCTTCCTAACTGTGTGCTTGTTCCAACAAAGAGCACCTCACCCATCACTGAGGCCACATACGTCGTAACGTGAACCAGCCAAGAACTTTACCTCGGGGAGAAAGCAGGAGTGAGCTTCCTCAAATGATTCCCAAAGTTAACAGAAAAAGTCACTTTAAAATTTCCTGCCTTGTTTATTACCACTATTAAAATTTCATGCAGAAGCATATTTTGGTGACGTCTGGAGAAGAAAAGACACATGGCTCCAAGTTTCCCTAAGGAACGAGAATGTTTCCTGTACTAGTGGAAAGCTCAAAATATCCTAGCTGTCACGGACACTGGGGACAGTGAAAAGCCAATTTCACAAAACAGAAAGACCAAAGCAGCCGCAGGGTCAGAGCGGGGCTCTGTGCCGTCCCTCGCATGGACTCCGTGGCCGAGATGCACAGACGATCCCTCAAACACTAAGACCACGGCTGCTCAACGGCCACCTGCGTCAGACAACGAGAGCGAGGCACTCACCTATGTGCGTCTGGGCCATGACGTCGGCCAGTCTGTGGGCAGCGCCGCTCCCCCCACTTTGGGTGGAAGAGGAAGAGGTGGTGGAGGTGGTGGAGCCGTGGATGGCCTGGCTGATCCAGTGCTCCATGTTGATGCTGCCCTGGCTGGAGGTGGGCGTGCCCTGGGAGTCTCCCTGCACCGAGCCTTCGTCCTCCGAGCCCGAAGAGGTATCTGTGAGAGACAGGTGTGCTATGCATCACAGCAAATCCCACACACACGCTAGCTGTCCAATGCCTTTTGCTTCCAACACTCTTGAAAAATTACACATCTCAGAGAACGAATTATTTTTTGGTATCATGACTTTTTCATCCAAAACACCTTAAATAAATATGCTACAAAAAAAGGTTTATTTGTTTTTGGGTTTTTTTTTTTTGACATTACAATTTTGGGCAGAGACATACTCACCAATTTTCTCCACTCAACAGTTTGGGAAGAAACCAACTGTCTCTAGGCAGGCTTACAGCAAGCGAGAAGGAAGCACCTTCTCGGAGGTACTGAACTTTCCTGTGTTTCAAAGTGTGACTGTACGCCTTGTTTAGACCTGAGGTACTTCTCTGAGCTACATTTTTATTTATTTATTTTTGAGAGAGAGAGAGAGGGAGCATGAGCTGGGGAGGGGCAGGGAGCGGGACACATGGATCGAAAGCAGGCCTGTGCTGACAGCAGTGAGCCTGGCACAGGGGCTCGAACTCACACATCACAAGATCATATCACCTGAGCCGAGATCAGGAATCAGAGGCTCAACCGACTGAGCCAGCAAGGTGCCCTCTGAGCTGTATTTTTAAATTCTGTGTGAGTGACGTTAACCAGGTGCCTCCCCAAAGAGGAAGCGGTCAGCGAGGATGGTGATGCCAAAGTTAGAAGGACTCCCATCTCTTTCCACCAACACTTTGCTTCCTCCTTTGGGGAGGACAGTATGTCACCACATTACATTACTGTGAATAAACTAAACATGTTTGCTTTAACACTCATTTCTGTTAAACTTTTTCACCATTTACTTGATTTTTCTCTCTGAATACTGTGCACCTTGGATTGGGATCAAACACATTGCTTTTTTTTTTTTTTTCGTTAAAATTAATGGAACTATTTTTAATATGATTTCCCCCAGCAGTGATGTTTTCAAGAATGAAGTACTGGTGTATTGCAAATCGGAAACTCTGTCCCCATTAAACAATGGCCCTCCATTCTCCCCTCCCACAGCCCTGGGAACCACCATTTTGCTTTCTCCTCATACATCTCGGGCCACTTTAACTACCTCACACAAGTGTTATCATACAATATTTGTCTCTTCGTGTGGGGCTTATTTTACTCTGCATAACATCCTCAAGGTTCATCCATGTTGTGGCACACCGCACAGTTTCTTCCCTTACACACTCATCTGTGGATGGACAAGGGGTTGCTTCCATGTCTAGCTTTTCTGAATAATGCTGCTATGAATATGAGTGTACAAATCTCTCTTTGAGATAGTTCAATTCTTTTGGGTATAGACCCAAAAGTAGAACTGCTGGGTCATGTAGCAATTTTATTTTTTAAATAACTGCCATACTTTGTGCCATAGAGGTGGCACCTTTTTACATTCTTACCAAGAGTGCACAAAGGTCCAAATTTCTCCACATCCCCACCAACCACTTGTAATTTCCTGGCTTTTGACAGAACCATTTCTAGTGGGTATGAGGTCTTATCTCACTGCAGTTCTGATTTGCGTTTCCCTAATGATCACTCACGTTGGGCATTTTTTTCGTGCTACAGGCCATCTGTATCTTGTCTAGAAAACCATTCAAGTCCTCAGACTTATGATTTTTGAGACACCTATACTCATATATCCATCCAAATATTATCATCCCCCCAAAAAGTATTCTCATGTTTTACTGTCAATCTTTCATTCCCACCCCACCCTTTCACAAGAAAACTACAGAAAAATATCCCTCATGATATACACACAAAAATCCTCAAGACATTTTAGCTAACAGAATCGAGCAAAATATAAAATGAATAGTACCCATTAGGACCAAGTGGTGACATTTAAAATTAATGTTATGCACCACATTAATAAAGGGATAAAAACCCTAAGTTAACCTTCAAAGTCACAGCATTTTACAAAATCTAAAACTAACTTATGATCAAATCTTTCAACAAAGCAGGAATAGAAAGGAACTTCTTCAGCCTGACACAGGGCATCTGTGAAAACCCATAGCTAACACTGTATTTAATGTTAACAGATTAAACATGCTTCCCTTAAGATCAAGACTAAGGCAAGGATGTCCCCTCTTACCACTTCTATTCAACATTATTTGCAAAGCTCCAGCCACTGAAATATAGCAAAAATAATGACTCCAAGGCATCCAGTTTGGAAAGGAAACATTAAACATTTTATATAGAAAATCCCAAGGAACACACTAAACTCTTTTAAGAAGTTTAGCAAGGTCACAGGCTACAAGATACAAAATATCTTTATATAGATACTAGACACAATTAAGGAAAGACAGTTTGCAAACTGTGAATCTGGTACAGGACTTGTATTCTGATTATAAAAACAACTCTTAACTAGTGAGGAGACAACTCATTTAAAGAATGGGAAAAAGGGTGAACACTTAACCAATAAAAATATATACAAACAGCAAATAAACAGAAGAGCTACAAAAAAAATACAGGCAGTACTAAGTGTGGGTAAGGATGCTGAGAAACAAATCCTCCTATGTTGCTCATGGGAATGTAAAATGGCAGTAGCCATATAGAAACAATTTGGCAGTTTCCTGAAAGGTAAGCATAAACTGTAAGATTTGTTAATTCAACTTCCAGGAAACCACCCAAGATAAATGATATATGTAGATGCAAACATATGTACATAAATGTGGAGAGCAGTATTATTCATAATAGCTCAAAACTGGAAACAAGCTAAATATCTACCGACTAGACATAGTAAACAAAACGTGGTGTATCTATCTAATAGGATACAATTCAACAAGAAGGAATGAAATGATGCATGCTACAAAATGGAGGACGCTCAAAAACTTATGCTAAAGAAGATGCTAAAGAACATATTTTATCATTTGATTTACAAAATGTCCAGAATATTTATAGAGGCATATAAATCAGATCACAGGCCCCCTATGGTTGAATGTCAGAATGCTAATTAACTGCAAATCAGCACAAGGAAACCTGTGGAGTGATGGAAATGTTCTAAAATTAGATTATGGCAATGACAGCATAATCTATATGTTTATTAAAAATCACTGAGTTACACACTTACAATAGGTAAATTTTATGGAATACAAATTACACCTCAAGAAATGCATTAAAGATGAATGTGTGTTCCACAGTATTTGAGTATAATATTCTGTGATAACTATCAGCTGCATCAAGTTAGATGACAGGGTTGTTTTGACAAATTATTAAGAAAGTATTTTCTACATCTCTTATTCTTGATTTTCCTATTTTCCCTCACTATTCCAGTTTCTGCTTAATAAATTATACTGCTCTTTTAGGTATACAAGTATTCATTATTACATCTTCCTGATAAATTGCTCATTTTCCATTATATAAGGTCCCACTTTTTATCTTGTATTACTCTGTCTTGCCATCTACTTTGGTATTGACTTGTTTGCTTTATATTTAATGTTGGCACTGCATATTTTTTCAGCCTTGTATTTTTACTATCTTCATTTTTTATTTAAATGTGTCCTGCTGACTCTCGATCTCAGTGTTGTGAGCTTGAGCCCCATGTTCGGGGTAGAGTTTACTTTAAAAAATATGGCTGTATCTCTTATAGAAAACATACAGATTTATCTTCTTTTTTAAATCTAGTCTGACAATCTCAATCCTTTAACTGGGTGTTTGGTCCACTTACAATTATTGTAATCACTCATTTAGAAGTATGCTAAAATCTAATATTTTGTTATCTGTTTTCCATTCATTCCACCTATTTTAAATATCTGTTGATTTTTCCTGTTTTCTATTAACCACATTTTTTGAGTTTCATTTTATGTCTTCTATTGAATATTACTTGTACTTTTTTTTTTTTTTTTTAGTGGTTGATGTAAGGCTAACAGGTATGCATCCTTAATGGGCCTATATGGGGGTCAATATTCTGTTTATTCTTCAGGTCTGACACTATTAACTTTCTCTTTCACCTCTACCCCCAACACACCTGACACTACTCACTTTCTACTGTTCACATTCTGCCTCCTACTTCACGAAAGTAACAGCCACACAAAAGTACAATTCCATTCACCTCTCCTCACATAGTTGTTTAAAACCAAATTACAATAGGAAAACATAGTATTCTTTTTACCCAATTATTTACTCTTTCCAGTGTTTTCTCCTTTTTACGGATTACATTTTTCATCTAATATCATTTCCTGTCAGCCTAACTGACATCCGTTAGCATGTCTGCAGTGTTCTCCTGGCAACCACATTCTCTCCTTTTTCATGTCTCATTATGTCTTCATTCCATCCTTGTTTATTAAGAATATTTTCTCGGAATAGCAGTTTTGTTTTTGCCCTTTAGGACTTAAAATATGTCTTTATATTGTCTTCCAGTCTCTATGGTGTCTTTATGTAGGTCATTCATCTTTCATGTGATGTTCTCTTATATGCAGTATAGGTTTTCCTCTAATTACTTTCAAGGTTTCCTCTTAATCATTGGATTTCAGCACTTTGACAACTGTAAACTGAAGTGTTTTTTTTTTTTTTGGTTTTTGTTTTTTAACATATCCTGCTTTGGGTTTACTCAACTTCTGGAATCTATAAGGTGGTATTTTATACCAGTCATAGAACTTCTCGACTCCTGTTTCTTCAAATAGTTTTTCTGCTCTCTCCTCTTTTTTCCTTCTTGGGATCCTAATAAAAGTGGGTGACATTGTACCGTAATACTTGAGGTTTTTCTGTTAACTTTAATTATGTCTCTCTACTCTTCAGTTTGGTTTCTCTTCATGCCTCTTAAAGTTTACAGCCACCTTCATCTTCCTTCTCCAATCTGATGTTAAGCCAATCCAGTGAGGTCTCACTTTAGTGAGAACTTTACAGTTCTAGAGTCTCCTCTCCATTAGTTAAAAAAATATTTTCCCTTTCTCTACTCAGCTCACATATTAAGATATTTTTCTTTAGTACTCTAACATATTTTAATTTGATTTCCTGAATATTTATAATCATAGATTTTAAAATTCCATCTTCCACTATATCAAACACCCACACCAGAGCTCTCTGACAGAAATATAAGTCTTATAACATAGTCATAAACCTTCTAATAGCCACATTAAAGAATACATGAATAGATACAATTTTTAAAATGTATTTTTAATACAAAATATTCAAAATATTGTTGTTTTAGTAAATATGAAAATTAAATACCTTCCAGTGACTTTTTTTCATATTAACTCTTCAAAATCTGGCATAAACTTCACACTTAACAGCAAGTACAACTGACACCAGCCACACATGATCAGTGGTCACCAAGAACACAATGAGGCCATCTTACGTTCATTTTATATTGACTTTTTCTGTGGCCACAGATTGCATTTCCTGTATCTCTTCCCATCTAGTGACTGTTTACTGAATAGTAAACATCGTGGATGGTTTGTGGAGGAGACTCTGGATTCCGTAATCTCTAAAGTCTTGTGATTCCTATGTTAGCAAGCAGTATGACACCCAGAAGACTTGGACTGATGCTTTGCTAGTGTGGATCTGTGGAAAGCTCCAGTCCTTTCATCTGCCTGAACTCAGACTCTCTGCCTCCTCAACTTAGCAGAAGCGCTGGTCTTGCTCAAATCTCAACCACCGGGCCGCGGTCTGAAAACTTCTCCAGGAGAAAACCGTAAACCGTGGGCCCCCCTCACCAGTACTGAGGTTCCTCAGTTCGCCTGTCGCTGCTGGATGCCCACGGCCTAGAGACAGCTGTCCCGTCCGTCGGGAGCAGTGCTATAGTTACTTACAGTGCGTGGGTGAGTCTAGTACCAGTTATTTCATTATGATTAGAAACAGAAGTGCTGGCCAATTCTGATGATATTTTTACATGTGAAAACTAAAGGAAAGCTTCACCTGTAAAAGACTGGCAGTGGAACAATCCTCATTAGGATACTGGTCAGTGACCACTCATTTCACACAGAAAATAAATACTTCAGGAATATACTCTGAAGAGCAGAGGACATGAGATAAGTTTTAACAAATGTTATCAGCAACCAAGGAAAAAAGAATGAGAGAAAATAAAGCTTAGTCCCAAGGTTTTGTTAAAGCAAGTATGGTTATAAATATGTAGACTACTGCTATGCACAAAACAGGTTGTATATAAAAATTTTCATGATGATGGAGCTGGCATTTGATTTCATGAAACTATCCCATGTGATTTATCACCAGGACCCTTGAATGACAGTTTACAAAATATATTCCATGGTGTACAAAAAAGGGCTAGTCAAATAATTAAATGCAAATATTTCACCAAAATTATACTTCCAATAATGTCCTTTTATATTCATAAAGACATATGTACAATGTTTGATTTTCTAAAGTTTTGTCTTTCATCATGTACAACAAAATAGCATTTCTGACAATGGATTCAACATGTGAAAAGGCACATACATAATAACATTGTTTCTTACATTTTAAACTCAACATTTCTCATAAAAAAAAAAAGTAGCTCAGAAAAACATCCATCTCTCTGAATACTGTCTAGGTCCAAACATTTAGTTAAAATATTTTTAAGTGGGTTTGTTATCCTTGTAAGTCCATTCTGTTTGTTATAAAAACACATACAAAATGAAACTTTTCACCACATTAGCAGAACATAGAGTCCAGAAAAGAACCCATTTATTTGGTCAACTAATCTATGGCAAAGGGGACAAGAATATGCAATGGAGAAAAGACAACCTCTCTCTTTTTAAAATATCTTATTTATTTTTGGGAGGGTAGGGAAGGGCACAGAGTGCAAGCAGGGGAGGGGCAGAGAGAGAGGGAGACACAGAACCCGAAGCAGGCTCCAGGCTCTGAGCTGTCAGCACAGAGCCCGATGTGGGGCTCAAACTTGTGAACCACGAGATCATGACCTGAGCTGAAGTCAGACGTTTAACCAACTGAGTGGACCAGGTGCCCCCAAAAGACAGTCTCTTTAACAAAAGGTGTTGGGAAAACTGAACAGCCACAGGTAAAACAAGGAAACTAGACCACTTTCTTATACCACAAAGAAAAATGAACTCAAAATGGATTGTAGACCTAAATGTGACACCTAAAACCATAAAACTCCTTTAAAAAGTAGGCAGTAGGCTCCTGGACATAGGTCTTAGCAATATTTTTTGGACAGGTCTCCTCACACAAGGGAAGCAAAAGCAGAAATAAGTAATGAAGACTATCCCACTGAAAAGCTCTGCACAGTGAAACAAACTATCAGCAAACAAAAAAGCAACCTACTGAATGGGAGAAGATACTTGTAAATCATATATCTGATAAGGGGTTAATATCCAAAATAAATATATAAAGAACTCATACAACTCAAGACCAAAAAAAAAAAAAACAACAACAACCAAAAAAGAAACAAAAAAAAAGAAAAATCCAAACCATCTGAGTAAAAACAGGCAGAGGACCTCAAAAGACATTTTCCAAAGAAGACATGCAGATGGCCAACACATGAGAAAATGCTCATCATCACACATCATCAGGGAAATGCAAATTAAGTTGTTGGCGAGGATGTGGAGAAAGAGGAAACCTCTTTCACTGTTGGTGGGAATGCAAACTGGTGCAACCACTGTGGAAAACAGTATGGAGGGTCCTCAAAAAAACATAACTATCATACCCATCCAGCAATTCTGCTTCTGGGTATTTATCAGAAGAAAATGAAAATACTAATTCAAAAAGATACATGCATCCCTATGTCTTTTGTTGCATTATAGGCAAGATATGGAAGCAACTTAAGTGTCCATCAACCGATGAAGAAGATGTGTAATACGTACAAAGGCGTATTGGTCACAAAAAAGAATGAAACCTTTCGACATCTGCAACAACATGGATGCACCTAGAGGCACTGCACTGAGTGGAAGGTCAGAGAAAGACAAAATACTGTAAGATTTCACTTATCTATGGAATCTAAAAAACAAAACAAATGAACAAATAAAAACCAGAAACAGACTCAAATACGGAGAACTGTGGTTCCAGAGGGGAGGTGGGCTGGGGGAAAGGCAGAACACGTAAAGAGGATTAGAAGTTACAAAGTTCCAGGGGCGCCTGGGGGGCTCAGGTGGTTAAGTGCACAACTTCAGCTCAGGTCAGGATCTTGCAGTTCATGAGTTCGAGCCCCATGTCGGGCTCTATGCTGACAGCTCAGAGCCTGGAACCCATCTCAGATTCTGTCTCCCTCTCTCTCTGCCCCTTCCCGCTCACATTCTCATTCTCTCTCTCTCTCACTCTTTCTCTCTCTCTCAAAAATAAACATTAAAAAAAAAAAGAAGTTACAAACTTCCAGTTATGAAATAGATTTAAGTCGTGGGAATGGAAGGCACAGCACGGGGACAAGAGTAACTAACACTGTCCTAACTTCATACGGTGACACGGTGACCACGCTAATCACTGGGAGCACTGAGTAATGTGCATAAATGCTGCATCACTATGTTGTGCACATCTTAGAGTTTAAGTGTGTATTTCTATTACTCTCACTGCTTGCAAACACTCAGGACTCAAATTCAAAACACTCTAAAGAGTATCGTATATGTTCATCTGTTCTTACAGTGCAAGGTAACAGGTCTGCAGAAAAGCAGAATGGCAACAAGGACATGAGTAATGCTGGAAACCAGCTCACAGAAAAAACATCCAAGTAATTTCGGCTCAATACTTTATGTTTTCTCATAGATACCGATGTAATTTAACTTTGCTCTTTACTTTGGTTTTGAAGATCATAAAACACAGACTACAATTATTTAGGTAAAATAAAGAACTTAGGTAGTTATATAAAGGTCAAGATTAAATAAAAGCATAAATATGAGTGAGCTATTACCTTCAACCATTTAATATCAGGGTCAGCAGGCCTGTGGATCAAACTGGCCCTCTGCCTGCCTTTTAAATAAAGTTTTATTGGCAAACAGCCACTCACTGACATGTTGCCTGTTTTCACAGCACAGCAGAATAAGCAGCTATGACAGACACATTATCCAGAGACCAAAATACTACCTGCGCTTTACAGGAAAAGTATGAAGACTCCAAACCGAGGTAACAAGATAAATTTTTCAATTCATTTCGTTTCTTAATACAACCTTACAACATATTTATGTTTTAAAAATTTGAGATTATATACACACTTATCCAAGCAGAGGAGAAGTCCAAAATCAGTTATAACTATAGAGGCACAAACTCTTTCTCTTTTGCTACATGAAGAATTAAGTAAAATTTCATAAGACTTTAAAAGTCCTCATCATTTGTGAGTCTCAGTGAAAAGGTTAGAATACTATTTGTATAGACACATAACTAGTAACATAAATTTTCCCTCCAAGTTTAATATACAGCGTCTATGCCGTTTCTGGACTTCTGGTTCACAGAATCTGAATTAACTGCACCATTACTTTGAAAGCTACAAAGACCGGGACCGCTCGGGCTGGCGGTGAATTAACCCCAGGGCTCGCCTGTCACTGCGGAGAGCAGACAGTGGGCTTGCGGCTCACCTGGAGGTGTGTAGGCGTCCATCGAGGTCTGTACAACCAAGGACCTGCGTTTGGAAGGCATAGGCACTGCCATCTTCCTTTCTTTGTGTTTAGCCAGCGCTGCCTGCACAGCTTCTGTGTGGACGTCTAAAACAAAAAGAGAGCTCAATCACCCCATTGTTCAGGGGCATCCCAAAGGCCCCAGGCTTTTTTTCCCCCGTTCTGTCTGGTTCTGTGAAATAGTTTATCCTACAGAAACTGTCACAAACAGATGTGTGGGGAAGGAAGGAAAAGAAGAATAAACCTGCTGGTTTGAAAGCTGCAGTGAAAGGACATTCAAATTCATTCAGGCTTTTAATTATTCATTTTATTACCCTAGAATCTATACAAATAATCACACACTGGCTGCAGAATTTCTGAAGAATACATTTTTCAAGCCTCATAATGCATTTTGATATTCTGTTAAAGGAGGCACGTACTTACTCCTCACAGGCTGTGGCGATGATTCTCACTAATATTTACTAAGCACTCAGGGCCAGTCACTGTGTTCGGCCTTTTGAATGTATTAAAGCCAACTGTACTCGCCCCACAACTTACTGAATGCCTACTTTGTACGCGTCCTCAGGGCTGGGAGTACAGTGGGGAGCCAGGTGGACAAGGTACTGTATCTCAGGCGGCTCACTGTCTAACGGGTAAGGGACACACGAAAGGCAATCATACCTAACCAGGAGGCCAGGGAAGGGCCCTCGACGTGAGGTGTGCGTAGAAGAATACACAGCCCTTCTGCCAAGATGAGACTCTCCAGGCCATAGAGAAACTCAGCCCCCAGGGATGCAAGATGACGGAGCAGGTGACAGCAGAGAGAACACAGCCATGGGGGGGATGCACCAGGACGACGGCTTTGAGGCAGGGTGGCGGGGGAGGACCAGGGATTTTAGGGAAGGGATGACGTGATGTGATTCTATGCGTGGGGGGAGTTATCCGGCTGCGGTGAAGAAGGCCGCAGGAGAACAAGGCGGAGCGGGAAACAAGCACGACGGCAGCGAGCGGTCAGGCACCGCATGGCTACACACGCTCCTCCACACAATCTCACCAAGCAGGGACTCCGAGGGTTTCACAAGTGAGGACGCAGAGGTATGAAGCTCTCCCAGTTATTAAAGTGCTAGTGGCATTGCTAGGTGTGAACCCAGGTGGGAACACCTATGGTGCCCACACCCTTCACCACCAACCACACCACACTCCAGCTGTTCCCATGGAAACTCTGACAGACTAGCATTTTAGAAGAGGCCACCTAGCCAGTCCCATGGGCCAAATGCAGCCTGCGTCTCTCCTTACAGAGAGTGTGAAAAGACGCTGTGAAAACAAGAATCTATTAAGAGGGGTCAGCATTCATTTACAGGTATGGGGGAGCAAACATAAAATACACATGCAGTGACATGTCCAGATCTTTACTCTGATAAATTTCTATGCATGGAAATTACCTATAGAACCACTACCCTAATCAAGGCACAGGACGTATCTATCAACCCAAGCTTCCTCCACGTGTCCTTCCAATCAATATCCACCCTGAATAAACAGGTACTGTTCAATATTTTGACTAGCTTTCCTTGATTCTTGACCTTCGTACAAACAGAATCACACCGATTTTATACAACCGTTACAGACTCCGCTACAGTGCTATCTGAGTGATAGGTTCATTCGTGTGGTTGCATGGATCAGCAAGCACTTCATAGATTTTTACTGATGAGAACTGTTACAACATATGAATATATCATAATCTGTATTTCTCCAGATGATGGTTATTTATGCTATGTGGCCAAAAACACACAAAATTCACCCACCCAACAATTTCTAGGTAGTCACTACAACTCTGTCAACCACAGGCACATGGTTGTGCAACAGATTCTCAAAGCTCCCCATCCTGCAAAATTGAAACTCTGCAACCTCACCTCCCTCTCCCTCAGCTTCTAGCAGCCACCATTCTACTTTCTACTTCTCTGAGTTTGACTAGCCTAGGTACCTCATGTAAGTATAACCGCGCAGAGTGTGTCTTCTCATGATTGGTCTATTTCTCTTAGCATAATGTCACCAGGGTCCATCTATGTTGTGGCATTTATCAGAATTCCCTTCCTTTTTAAGGCTGAATAATGTTCTATTGTATGGATATAACATATAGTCTTTGTTGATTTACCCATCATTAAATACAGAAGTGGTGACTACCTCTTGGCTGTTGTGAATATGTTGCTATAAACACTTGTGTGTAAGCATTTGTTTGAGTCCCTGCTTTCATTTAGTTCAGATAAACACCCAGAATTGGGATTGCTCAGACTTCGGGGAAGGTAGGGGCGTAGGAGGGTGCCAACCTCACCTTGTCCCATGAACACATCTAGGTAACAGGCACATCATTGCAACTAACCCAGAAAAAAAACCCCAAAGACTGACAGAACAGGCTCTCCACAGGTAATGGTAGACAGGAAACCAAAGTGAAAACAGAAGGCAGGGCAGAGACCCTTCCAAAACCAAACTAACCTTGAGACTAACCACAAACAGGAGGGAGACCATGAGTGTGGAGAAGAGAAGGAAAGACCCCACAGCAACCACCCCAGACATGGGGGACCCTGCACTGGGAAGATGAGGCCCCAAGACATTTGGCTTTGAAAACCAGTGGGGCGTAACTTTGTTTTTACCATCAGTGGGACTTAACTTGGGGTACTTTAAAAATCAGCTGGCTTATCTCTGGGAGAGCCTGAGGCCAACAAGAAACGGAGTTTCTGCCGCTGAAGAGACAGCAAAACACACAACCTTGCCGGGATACAGCATAAAACAGCAGTATGAAAAACTCCTGAGGTACGCAGGAGGGATATTTATTTACTAATCTCAGATCCTGCACAGGATGGGCCTTTAGGAGACTTCTCTAAGAACAAAACAACTGGCAGGCACCATTTCTCTCCCCGCCCCCAGCCTACAGACGTGGATACCCACAGGAACCAGCACCTACAGTGGCCCCGTGGCTTTACTAACAGTACCCCTGACTCCCGCATCTTCCTTCAGCCTCACTCCACCCAACCTGCCCCACTCTGCGGGTGTCCCTCCAAGTGGCTCCAGTTCCCCTTCTGCAACCAGACCAGCGTGTCCAGCTGACACCCGAGGTGCCGCCACCTTTGTCCCTACCCCGTCCAACTTGCCCACCGAGCAGGCGTCCGTCCAAAGCGGCGCCTGCCTCATCTCATTCTGCAAGCAACCCCACCGTGCCCAGCACCACACCAAAGTGACTCCTGCCCTGAGGAGAGGGGAGAATCACCACACACACCAGTCCAACCACAGCCCCAGCAGTGGGCTGGGGGCAGACATCAGGTCTGTGTGGCAGCCCCCCCCCCCCCCGTCAAAAAGCTCACGGGGGCGGGAGGGGCAGCAAAAAAGGAGAGCCCTGGAGTTCAGAGTCACTGCAACCCCAACAGTCCGAGTGGGGCAGACTGCAGGCCTCACCTCCAACAAAAGGCCGTCAGGGGTTAGCACAAGGAGAGCACCTGCACGCAACTGTGACTGAAGCCCAGCACCCAGGCTACGAGGACGCATCTGGTCTGACTCAAGGCAGCCAAGACTGGACTCTGACCAAACCCTGCCCACAACGGGCAAAGAGAGCCATTGTGGGCAACTGGAAGGCAAACGTGGCTCAACCACAACAGCACAGCACATGCAATGCACACAAGACACACCCCTGAAGTACTAGGTTCTGGCCAACAGGGGACACTGTACAGGACACTGAACAGGGCAGCACAGAAATTCTTCATAAGGCCACTACTCTCAACATTAGGAGTCACGGTGGATTCTCCTAACAACCAAAAACAGACACAGAGAGTGAGACAAAATGAGACAGAGGAATATCCCCCAAATGAAAAAACATGAAAAACTGACAGCAAAAGAGCTCAATGAAACAGAGATAAGCAACATACCTGATGAAGAGTTCAAATGGTCATAAAGACACGAGACTTGAAGAAGGAGTGGAAGGTCAGTGAAACCCTCAACAAAGAGATAAAAAAATATAAAAGAACCAATCAGAGATGAGAACTTAATAACTGATATTGAAAATACACGAGTGGGAATAAATAGTAGACTAGAAGAAGCAGAATGGATCAGTGACCTGGAAGACAGAGTAACAGCAAAAGAAAAAGAATAATAAAAAATGAGAAGAGATCAAGGGAATTCAGTGACACCATCAAACATAATAACATTCACATTTCAGGGATCCCATAAGGAGAAGAGAGAGAAAAGGGGGCTAAATATTTACTTGATGAAATAATAGTTGAAAACTCCCTAAATCTGGGGAAGGACAGAAATCCAGATCCAGGAGGCAGAGAAAGTCCCCAGTAAAACCAACCTGAAGAATTCACATCAAGACACGGTGATTAAAATGGCAAAAAAATGGTGATAGAGGATTTTTAAAGCAACATGAGAAAACAGTTACATACTAGGGAAACCTCTTGAGGCTATCAGCTGATTTTTCAGCAGAAACTTTGCAGGCCAGAGGGAGTGGCAGGATATATTCAATGTGCTGAAAGGAAAAACGTTCTGCAGCCAACAATACTCTACCCAGCAAGGCTATCATTCAGAATAAAAGGAGAGCTAAAAAGTTTCCCAGACAAATAAAAGGTAAAGGAGTTCATCACCACGAAATTAGCCTTATAAGAAATATAAAAGGGAATTCTTTGAGTGGAAGGTAAAGATCATAACCAGGAGTAAGAAAATTAGGAAAGAAAAAAATTTCATAGGTACATACAAGCACAATAAAAGTAGTAGATTAATTACAAAACCAGTATGGAAGTAAAAGCATAAAAGCAGTAAAATCAATTATATCTATAAATACTAGTCAATGGATTCACAAAACAATGTAAAGTATGATACCATATGCATAAAACCTGGAAGGAGGCAGTAAAAATTTAGTGCTTTTAGAATGGGTTCAAACTTAAGCAAACATAAGCTTAATATAGACTGCTCCATGCACAGGATATTATATAGAAACCTAATGGAAGTCACAAGTCAAAAAATATTAATATATTTGCAAAAAATCGGGGCGCCTGGGTGGCTTAGTCAGTTAAGCGTCCAACTTTCGCTTAGGTCATGATCACGCAGTTCGTGGGTTCGAGCCC